ATGCTAATCCCTCCCCATGGGCACCCTCTTTCTCGCCTGCCACATCTTGCTGGTAATTCTAATAAAATCAGGAAGCTGCCCCCAAGTTTGTACTCTGGACATGGTCTTTCATAGACATTAGGGCTGGAAAGGACCTCGGAAGATCATCGAGTCCAGCCCCTGGCCCCAAGGGCAAAAAGTCAGCAGGGGTCATAGGATCCCAGCAAGATAAGCATCCAAATTTCTCTTGAAGGCATTCAAAGTAGGTGCTTGAACCACCTTTGGTGGCAGGCTATTTCAGACCTTGGGGGCGTGGACAGTGAAGAAGTTCTTTCTTATATCCAGCCTGAAACGGTCATGGAGGAGTTTGTGACCGTTCGACCTTGTCATCCCTTGGGGTGCTCTGGTGAACTGATGTTCCCCCAGGTCCTGGTGAGCACCCCTTATAAGTAGCCATCAGATTACCCCCGAGCCTGAGCTTTTCCAGGCTGAAGAGTCCCATAGCTCTCAGCCTCTCTTCATAAGGTCTGTTTTCCTGACCTCTGATCATGCGTGTGGCTCTTCTCTGGACTTTCTCAAGCTTCTCCACATCCTTTTTGAATCGCGGAGCCCAAAACTGGATGCAGTACTCCAGCTGCTGCCTCACCAAGACTTAGTACAACGGGAGAATGACATCCTGGGATTTGCTTGAGAAGCATCTATGGATGCAAGCCAGGGTTTTGGTCGCTTTACTAGCCGCAGCATCACATTGAAGGCTCATGTTCATCTTGTGGTCAATGATGACCCCCAAGTCTCTTTCTTCCATAGTGCTAGCCAGTGTAGCACTGCTGAGTCTATAAGCATGCTGTGGGTTTTTCTTCCCAAGGTGGAGAACCTTGCATTTTTCAGCATTAACTCTCCTGGGGCCTTGCTATAGCTTGGCCTCTTGTCCTCACTGGGCTCCCCACAGCCCTGTTGCTGTGCCCCACACTGGTGCTAGGGTCTGTTCACCCCCCTGTCACTGCACCCTACATTGACGCTGGGGTCTGCTCACCCCCCCCGTTGTTGCACCCCACACTGGCGCCAGGGTTCCCACACCATAGTGGGCCCCCAATGAGGCCTCCTCTTTCCTCCAATAGCCTGAGTCTGATCCACCGGTCTATAAACAGCAAATAAAATATGAGCCCCTGGGCTATATCATAATACAAGGAGTTTAAGGGTATTCTGTTCTTTTAACAAAATCAGACTTCTCCCAGCATTAAGTGCCTTGTAGGCCAGGGTCTCTGGTGAGCTCCTGGAGTCTCTTAAACCTATCTGGAGCAGAACAGGCAGTCAAGCCTCTCTGGTGAGCTTCTTGCCTGAGAGCTCCTTACCCCTTGGCTGCTGACAGAGAACTCAGCCTCTAGTCCCAGCCCTGGGGTTTATATATGCCCAGGACCCTGCCTCTTCTTGTCAGCTGACCAGGTGCAGGTACAGGATAATTTACTCATTAGCCTGTTGTCATAGTAACCTGCACCCGTGGGCTTCTGTCTGGCATTTAGGGCCCTCTCCCTAGGCAGTTTCTGCTCTTAAAGGAGCAGGCACCTTAGTGCCCTGCAACACAGATAAATCAGTATTACACACACTTCATTCTCATGAAAAATAAACAAAATAAAATTGGGGTTAGTCATTCTTTGTTGTTATAGAAATGTTTCCTTAGCCCATTAAAAGATCTTCTTCTTTTGTTTTTCTTTGGTTGTACATTGCAGAGACATCTTCATATACTAGAATCCCAGAAGCATAAATATCACTAAATGAGCCACATTGGATACCTTTGTAAATAATTTCAGCTGCTGAAAAAAACAAAAACATTGTACACAAAGATATAAGATATTTGTGTAAGCATTACTGAAAATTATTGAATCCCTATGCATATGTGGATTATATGCATCTACATCTATAGATATACATATAGATAGACACATACACACATAGATTAAAGAATGTAATTTAGGGCATGCTTACTCATCACAAGTGTCACATGATAACTTTAAAGAATATTAGGTTATCATTAAAGTTAGCACCTCCTGGGTGCACATTCGGGGTTAAAAATGTGTGTAACTTGCATACCTATGCCCTGTTGCTAGAGGCCTGGCAGGCAAGGGCATGGCTAGGAGCTGACAAGTGCACTCTGTGCCTGTCCTGCTCACCAGATTGCTAGCAGAAACGAACACTCCCCCGCCCCCAACCCAACTCCAGCCCCTAGCACCTGAGTGCGCACACATACATGACTGTGTGCATGTGTATGTGCAGGCATATGTAATTCTAAATGCATACATGTGTGTGTATTTGGTTTGAGGAAAAATAATTGGTGTATTTGTAAATCTGATTTCGAGAATATAGTTATATACACATTTTCCTTACCTTGGTCACTGCTTGGTAACGTATGTTCAATATTAAAATATACCATTGGGAATGTAGATGGTGTAAATCAGAGTTGGCTATTCCATAATGGAACAATGGATAGGCATCAAATAGGTTACGGACTTTAGTATCTTATTTAACCTATATTTTCATTTTGATTGGCATTCTTTGAGTAGCATTATGAGTAATGCAAAGAAAAGGTTTCCATCTTAGAAGAACTTAATATTGATTTGCTTGATCGACTGCTGTTCAAATTAGTCTTCTTTGTCAAAGTGTAAACAAATAGCATGATGGATTGCCCTGTCATAGTCAAATTCAAATAAATGAAATGAGATGGTATGAAAGAATCCAGCATGAGGCATTACTTTTTTTACTCAGTACTCTGCAGGAATCTGCACAGACAGGATAGTGGGTTTAGATTTAGTTATGGTTACTGAAAAAAAAGGGTGCATCTACACATGTCATTAAGGCAGTGATAAACTCCAGCAGTTTTCACCAGAGTTTATCACAGTGCTTTAATGGCATACATTGATGCTCAAACATTTGTGGTCCAGGGTCTTGTGCAGATGTTGTGCCCAGGACTGCAGCACTTTAAGCTGGGGTGGAGCAGCCACGGGCTGGCAGGGACCCTGGGGGTGACAGTGGGGTGGGGGGAGGGGATCAGCTCCAGGAGGCGGCCTCAGGGCTGGCTGGGGCAGGAGAGTGTCCCAGCATTTGGAGCCCTATGGTTAGGCAGCAGACAGGTGCCTAGCTCCCTGCTGCCTGGGCTGACTAGGTGTAATGTACACCTGGGTCAGCATTTACAGGTGCAGTTATTTTTGCTGTTGTAGTGGCAAAAAATAGTTTGCTTCAATAAAATAGCATCTAATTTGTAGACTGTGACACTTTATGCTGCAGCAAATTAACCTCCTGTGCAGTTAAGCACATGTGCAGATGCACCAAGAGAGTCCTAGGAAGGACTGCTCAGGAGTAGTGCATTCAGTGAAAATATATGGTATGGACGATAAAGGAAACAACACAAAACACTATCTGTGTTTGAGGGCTCAAGTTTAGTATCTTGTGTATGAAGTCCTAGTTACAGTAAAGGAAATCCTGCTTTCGTTGATGTGTATGGTTAAAATGTTCTTGGTGCTCAGCAGCCCATAATTTCAGTGATTAAGCACAACTTAATAAATGGTCCCATTGACTTTAAGTGGGGTTATTTGTGGAATAAAACACTCATTTTGAAGACTGATATTAGAATGTAATTTTAATTCAAGAGATCAAATTACTAGTGTTTGTCAGAACCTATTTTCACTACTTCTACTTTCAAATGTAAGATGCACCACCATAGGGAATAACACATTTTTGTTTGTTTGTTTTGAACACATTTTCTTAGTGGTTTACCTGTTTTCTTCTTTGGGAAAACGTTGTTTCATGAAAGGCATTACTCCTAGCCATATCTTGAAAGTTCTTAGCATTTAAAATGCTATTTCAGCTGTAGTAATGGTAACAGTTAGAGAAATATTAGCATAGGCAAAGGCCAGCAGATCTCGAAAAAACTCTCTCTAAAATTAGTACTGTTTGGGTTCTTCTACATGAGACACTTTACTCCACAACAGCATAGTTTACTACACAGTAAGTGCATGCATCTACATGTGCGCATGCTTACTGTGGAATAAACCTTGCTATTCATGAGTAAATTTACTACCTGCAAATGCAAGTAGCAAATTTACTTGTGATTACTTACTATGCAGTAACTCCCATGTAGATGCCTGATGGAACAGGCTGGGAGCCTGCTGTCTGCTCAGCTCCATGATTGCGGAACTGAGCAGGGAATGGCATCTCCAGCTCCTGCCCTGCAATCGTGGAGCAGGGGCTGGGAACTGTCCCAGTCAGGGGCAGGTCCCAGCCCCATGCCCCAATTGGGTGATCAAGGCATGGGGCTTATAAAGAGTTGAATGGGTGGGGTAGGTCCCAGTCCCCTCCCCTTCATCTCTTTCCATGTCCCCTGCCCCCAACGGGGGACCAGAGGCAGGAGATCCCTGCTGCCAGGGCAAGGGAACATTGTCCCCACCCCAGCAGCAGGCAACCCTCAGGGGCAGTTGTTTTCTGGCCCAGTGCTCCCTGGCAGCCCCTGGGCTAGCACCCAAGGGGAGCCTAGAGCTCTCCCTGGTGGTGGCAGGTTAGCAAATCAGCTCCCACTTCCCTGTACATGTAGATGCCAGCCTGAGAGCGCTTACTTGTGAATAGTATACCCACAAGTAAATTGCTCCTACATCAAATGCATGTGTAAACACACCTTTGTCATGTACTCTGGTATGCATGCACTTCTCTTTAAAGATATATAAGTGTTATCTTTTAAAATTAGACTGATTAGAAAAAAAGTCTTTATTTAGCTTAACGCACAGACCATTTAAACATGAGTAGATTCTGGTCTGTCTCTTAAAACTTAGTCTTGAACCTCAGAACATGTCTATTTTACTCTGTATTGCAGAACAAGGTATGCAAATCAGATTTTTTTTTTTCGTAGAGGCTATATTTCTGTTTAATAGCATAGTACTACTCTAACTGTTCTTTAATATATGAACAAGTATGTTTTATGAATTTGCTTTACATGTTTTAGCATGTATTATATGAGAAACATTTTCTTTTTGCAGTAAAGACTTGTGGATCTAACCTTCAGGGACCCAGTGGAACTTTCACATCCCCCAATTTTCCATTCCAGTATGACAGTAATGCTCAGTGTGTCTGGGTCGTCACAGCCATCAACAACAACAAGGTAAGCTTAAAACTCAGAACTATATTTTTCTATATTTATTTTATAATATCATACACAGATTGTAATGTTTAATATTAATATGATTTATTCAATTGATCTTCATAGTGCTTTACAGACATTTAAAAAAATTGCTTATTGTTAATTATGTAAGGACAGATTAGTTAACTCCGCAGTAAAGCTCATGTGTAGATGCACCCTCTGTGTTACTATTTCTGGCCCATTCCATGGTCCTCACATAGATCCTTCTGGGGACTTAGTGATCTACATTCCAGGAGAAGAATAAAACTAAAGAAGGTGGGGAGAAGTGTGAGCAGTCCAAATATTGGGGCCGTGCTGAGTTTCAGCAGTTCTTAGGGTAGATGATAAAAGCTGGATCTATGTTAACTTAAATGTGGAAACACATATCACACTGTGGAATCCATATTTAAGTGGGTCCTATGGCTGTAGTGGGAATGAAAGTCCTTTGCAGAACATTTCTAGTGAAGCATTGCCATCAAAAACCTCCACATGGAAGGAGACTTCTGGAGCTGGATTGAAAAAAAAAAGTTTTGTTTTTGTTTATCAAATATGGTCTTAATTGTTAGTGGATCCTCCCAGATCCATGGATAAAGACTTTGTTCATGCATGCAGGAGAAACACTGATGCCTGATAAATTCAGGATAAATGCTTGGGAGGCAATGCAGAGTGTTCTTTAATGTTGCTCCTTTTCTGAGGTACCCTTTAGTATGCACTGGAATTTTGGGTGGATGAAAATAAGACATTTTAGATTTGTCCTATGAAATGATTTTTACTAAAATTTGTAGTCCTCTCCCTGTTAAATGAACACCTAATTCAGCTAATTTACATTCACACAATTAATATTCCTTAAACTTAATGAAAATTTCCATGAAACAAAGCCTTTCTTTATTAAACATAATTATTTTCTCTATATTATATTGCAGTTTTATTTTGATTAATTTTGTTTTAGATTATCCTGTAGTTACAATGTATTGAATTGTTCCTTGCAGGGTCAAAACTAAGCAGTGTTTTTTATTGAGAATTATATATTTACATAATGGGGAGGAATGATAAGAGAAACATGTCTTTATTTAAAATACAATGATTTTTCTTTTCATTTTAACTAGGGGATATAATTTTTAATGTTCCTTTTTTGGCATTTCATCACCCCTATTATCCTGTTCAAATGGCTTCTCTCTGCTTTGTGTTAAAGGGCTGTGTGTTTCTGAGAGCAGAATTTGAAATGTATGAAATACGCTTAGCAATGAATCATTGATTTTTTTGACTCGGGAGCAATCTTGCATTACTCATTAACTGTGCTGGTGCTGCTTCGGCTATCACAGAGGTGATACGCTTGGCCTCTAGGGAGGGAGAAATGGCTGTTGACTGTACAACTGGACTGCTACAAAGCTGTTTTTATCCAGTTGTGATAGTTGTCCCCTTATGATCTCTCTACCTATTTACTGTTGAAACATGCAAATTTAATGTTGTCTTGTTAGTGTACTTTCATTTCATAATAAGGTGTGCACAGTTAACCTAGACTAAGTTATGTTTTTCGCACATTTTTGTCTCATTTGTGTATTAAATATTATAATTGAAAATATAAAATCAAAACATGTATGTGCCTCTCTCCTTGAGGCAAATGAGTTCCGCATATAAGCTTCCCTGGTTTTGTATCAGTGTCTTGGGAACCTCAGAATTGGATTAAACACAGTGAACCTGTTTGAGCTCACTAACATGACATGGTGAGTTGGTACCCCTGTGAGGTGTTAGGACCTGGACTTTTGGTTGCCCAGTGACATCCAGATTAGATTTGGATTCATAAACCCAATCTCTCCAACTCTCCCTTGGAGTTAGATGCTAAATTTATTCGTTTAAAAATGGGACAGAGGACTCTGGTTTTAAAGCATGGTTGGAGCTACAAGGTATGAAGCATTTCAATTATGCTGCCCCTGCTATTTTACAACCATTCATGGTTTAGATCAGGTGGTTAAGGCACTCTCCTGTGCGGTGGCACATGAAGGTGCCTTAGCCACCTGACTACAGGCTGTCCCAAGATACGGGGTCCTCTCCCCCCTTCCTATGGAAACTTTGCCATGGGATAATCGGGAAAGAGAGAGAGAGAAGCTTTTGACAAGGAGAGGCAGCACAACTTCGGTCTTGAAACTGCTCACTTGAAAGAGGGGTACCCCAGTTCTGGATATCCAGTCTAAGTCTCATTTAGGGATTTTAGAGTTAACGCTCATTGGACAAAATGCATGAGCAATTCTTGGACCCAGGGATCACTGCCCCAATCTCCTCTCACCGAGGCGAGTGCTGTACTCACTGAGTTAAGAGTCAGACTTTTGATCTCTGGCCCAATTAATCTTGAATTCTTTTCTGTATAGTGGCACAGCTTCAAAAGGAGTGATGAGGAGTGTTGCTCCGCCTCCAGATAGATGATGAGAAGTGGTGAGAGTACTCTCCTGAGAGACAGTTTATCTGAGATTACTTCTGTTTAGGCTGACATGGGCCTAAAACTCATAATGCAAGTTCCACTGAGTTGCTTGAGCCATTTAGTGGATCTCAGCCTAGGTCCTGTTGTCTTTCAAAGATTACTCTTTGCATAAAATATAATTTCCAAAACCTTATAACTCATTCGAACCAAAACCATTTAATCAAATTATCTGGAACTGGTAAGCAATGGTTTCAGCAATAGTTAACTGTTCTGATACTAGCTTTGCAAGAAAATTGGCTTTAGTGAGAGTTTGTCTGAGAACTTTCAGATTAAAAATTGAAATATAAAGGAAAACAGGTGCTTTAACAATGCAAGCAGCCTGCAACCTTAAATATGTCACTGCTACTTGTGCTATGATCCTGACTGAGTAACATACATTAGCATTTGTGCACATTTTATATTGATCTCCCTATTCCACAAACAGCTAAGGCCAAGATCCATAGATTTGAAATGCTTACCATTTAAGCATATATTTAATTTTCTGGTGACTAGAAATAGGGTTGTTGATGCTAAAAAGTAACTATGCGTGGAAGTGTTTTATTGGGTTGTTATATGTGTTAAGGTATGTTTGGAATAACAATGTTGTGGGGAAAAAAATGGTCATGATTCTAAAATGTGGGATAATGTTGTGCCCAAATACAAATCAGGCAAGTTGAATAACCTAGGTCACCTTAAACCAAAAGCCTGATACAAGATTCAGTTAACAGGATGAACATGAGTCACCAATGCAATGCTGCAGCCAGAAAAGCAAACCAAACTCTGACATGCATCCACTAATGCATCCCAAGCAAAACCAGGGACGTCATCCTCTCACTTTACTCGGCCTTAGCGAGGCCGCAGCCGGAGTACTGCATCCAGTTTTGGGCCCCCCCACTTCAGGAGGGACATGGATTGAGAGAGTCAAGAGGAGAGCCACCCACATGATCAAAGGCCAAGAGAGCAAGCCTTATGAGGAGAGGATGTGGGACATGGGACTCTTCAGCCTGGAGAAGAGAAGGCTCAGGGGAGACTTGTTGGCAGCCTATACATATATAAAGGGTGCGCACCAAGATCTGGGAGAACAGTTTTTTTTACCAGGGCTCCCCAAGGGATAACAAGATCTAACAGCCACAAACATCTGGAAAGCAGATTTAGACTGGACATACAGTAAAATCCCTTTACAGTCCGAGTGTTCAACTCCCACCAGAGGTGGTGGAAGCACCTACTCTGGACTAATTCAAACAGTGTTTGCATGCATATCTTGCTGGGATTGTTTGACCCCAGCAGAGTTCCTGCCTATGGCAGTGGGGCTGGACGCCATGATCTTGCAAGGTCTCTTCCAACTCCCAAATGTCTATGAAATCTATGAAATAAAGAATCAATTAATAGAATGTAATTAATGCCAACCATTAATAAATAATTAAATAAATTAATGCCAGTCAGGCTTTATGAAAAATGGATCTTGTCAAACAAACCTGAGTTCATTCTTCGAAACAGCAAGTTTGGTTGATAAAGATAACTGCATACTTAGAAGCATAACACATGAACATTTGTAAAGCTTTTGATGCTGTATTGCCTGCTGGTATTTGATTAAAACATTAGTGCAATATCATATCAATTATGTTAATGTTAAATGGATTAAGAACTAGTTCACTGACAGAGCTAAAGAGAAAAATTAAAGAGACAAGTCAATGATGGGAAAATCATTGGAGGGAGGTAATTCTAATGGAGTTCCATAGGGAGGTGTAGCAGCATTCTTTGACATTTTCTTCCAGTACATTGATTAACATATAAAACCACTGCTGATCACATTTGCAGTTGACACAAAGAATGGTAAAATGGCAAATAATGTTAAGTTGAAGGAAGACAAATAGAGCATTTGTGGGATAAATTGGGGCCTTTTCCAACACAAAGCTTCAATACAACAGAATGCAAAGTTCTGTCTAAATTCTACCTAAATTTCTACCTAAAATTTAGGTAGAAGGAATTTGTATATGTCATGCCTACAGACTAAAATAGTATACCTGGAAAGTAGAGATTCTGAATAGGATCCAGGGATCATTGTGGACAAGCTGCTTATTATGAATTCTTAATGCAATTGTATGATGCAGTACCGTGGCATGGAAGATGGGCACTTGGGGCAAAGCCCACAGCAGCAGCCCGCCCTTGCCCTGCGCACAGATCCAGGGGGCACATGCCCCCCATGCTTGCCTGGAAGTGCACACAGCAGTGGGAACCACCCTGCCCCCATCCCCGTGTGCCCCTCAAATGAGCATTCTCAGCTCCATCTCACGCACTGCCCTGCCCCAGCTGGGCAAAACTTGTTGGCATCCCTTCTCTTCAGTCCCTGGGGTGGTCGCTCCATTGCTTCCCCCCCCCCCCACATTTGCTATGACACTGATATGACAAATGGGGATAAAGGGATTCTTGGGTGTACAAACAGGTGGAGGGGGTGGGCAATGAAATTATTTTTTAATTCTCTGTATGACCATGTTACGAGCAATACTGAATACAGTTTTTGATGCCA